GTCTGATTTCATACAAGTCTAACTTACAGATAGCAGACCAGCTCTGTAGGCTGCTTACTGCAGATAATGGGTTGGTTTTCTGGGCTGGGTGCTGCAGACTGTGGATCAGAGTTCTACTTTTATACATAGTTTAGCCATTGTCCATCTTTATATGCACTCTCTCAGCAGAAACTGAGGCCCAGAGAAGTAGAGTGGTCTAAGATTCTTCATCCAAGAGCTTAAAGTAATCAGAGCTGACAGGTCAATCCTATCATTTCCAAAGGAACTTATTCTACTTATTGAGGAGGCAAGGTTCAGATGCATAGGAAAATGAAGTTCAGTAAAGATGTCATAGAGGTAAGTGACACCAGGAAGTTAATAGCTTGGAAGGAAGGCTCATCACTTTCCTCTCCAGGTAGAACCACTGCTACAGCCAGAGCCTCTACGTACTGGACATTCCAGTCAGCTAGCAAAGCAAAGTGGTTAAATGCATGGTTCTCTAGGCTGCCATCTCTCTTCATATTTAATCTTCAGAAATATTTGCTGTGAACTTGAACAACTTGAACAAGATATTTTACCTTTCTGGTCTTTAGTTTCCTCATCCATAAAATGAGAATAACAGTAGCACCTATCTCATCATGCTCTTGTGTGAATTAAATGAATGGGCGCTTGTAACACACTTAGAACAATACCTGATACTTAAGATGTGCTTGTATAAGTTAGATATGATGATCTTGTTTAGTCTTCACATCAACCCAGCATTAAGTAGTATAATCCTACTTTTCAGATAAGGAAACTAAGGATAATACTAAGGATAGCTATGTCACTTGTCCGAGATAGTGAGTATCTGAGTCAGGATTTTCACTCGTATCTTTATGAAGCCCAAACTTATTATTCTTCACTACTGAGCTTCTGAACACAAGATGCCACTGTTGGGAAAGAAGTGGCATATAGAGTGGGAAGCCATATAGGGCTGTGGTATCAGGGTGTCTGTATTCAACGTTTTGTTCTGCCCTTACACAAATTACTTATCACCTTTGCACATGTTTTCGCTTGCAAACTGGTAATAATAACCTATCTCACAGGTTTAAGGATTAAATAAGACAGCATTTTAAGTATTAAGTAAGATAATGTATGTGAAGTTTCCAGTACAGTGACTGGCACATAAGTACTTAGTAAATGACAGCAATGATTTTAACTGTCTAATTTTAATTTAATGAATTGAAAGTGACAATTGCAAACTATTCTTTAGAGTTTGTCCCTTAAAGGCCCGCCTTCATGTCCCCAAACTGACTTGACTCTCCACTGCTGTATTCCCCATTGTTGGTACTGTGATAGGTCAAGCGGTCACCAGAAAAATAGCTTAGAGGAGGAAATGGGTCCTGCAGGAGAGAGGAGTAGACAGGTAAGGAGTGGTCACACACGGTAACATGGAATTCCAAAAGACCAAGGCTTCCCATGGCCCAGACTTTCAGAAGAGTCAGAAATGCTTCTTAGGAAACAAATGGAGGAATTTCATCCTCAGCTCTGTAGGTCAACCTGAGACATGCCCATCTGAAAGACACACTTGGCAGATAAAACTACCCTCCTCTTTGCCATCAAGTATCTCTTAGAGGTAGTAATGTTAGTCATTCAGTTGTGTCCAGCTGTTTGGAGCCCACCAGGCTCGTCCATCCATGGGATTCTCCAGGCAAGAATACTGGAGTGGTTTGCAATTTCCTTCTCTGGGGATCTTCCTGACCCAGGAATTGAACCTGGGTCTCCAACACTGCAGGCAGACTCTTTACCATCTGAGCCACCAGGGAAGCCCTCTCTTGGAGGTATTGGTTCTCATTTTACACTGAGTTCAGTGAAGTCTCCTTCTCAACTATTCCATGAGAGCCAAAGCTGAGTTGTTGGTCAGACTGGTCAGGGAAACCAGAGGAGGGGCAACAAGAAATTCTGATAGGAGAAGCGTGATCATAATGAGGATATAAAAACAGAAAATGCCCTGTTTTAAAGGAATGTAAAGAACCATTTCTTCCATCACCCTGAAACGTTGATGTTATCAACTTGTTTTCCAGAAGAAGAAATTAAATTCCAAGAAGGTTAAGTTTTACAGCCCAAACCACTCAGGTAATGAGAGGTGAATCATGATTTGAATCCAATAAAAAAAGATGTAGAAAAAACATACCTAAATATTTCAGACTTGTTATCTGTGGGTGATAAGATTATGAGTGATTTTAATTTTCTTTTCTGTGCTTCTTTGTATTTTCCAAATTTCCTCCACCGGATAGTTGTCACTTAATAATGAGAAAAAATAAAGTTCTTTAAGTCTCATCAGGGCCTGGGATAGGGCTGGGAGCAGAGGCAGCAAAGAAGCTCACTACAGAAGCACTAGTCTGCTGTTTCTGAAACTGAGCCAGGTAAACTGCTGGGCTGAGACGCGGCTCAGAATGAGTTAGAGAGGGAGGAGGCAAGCGGCCCCGGCCAGAGTTTTGGCTCCTTCGAGCCCAGGGAAGCTCAGCATGAAAGGGGCCTGGACCGAGAACATCAACTTAGTAGTTGGTTCCAAACACAAAGACTTGATCCAGGAACAACCCAGGTGGGGCTGGCCAGAATCCAAAATGGACGGGCCTTCAAAGAGGGCGCACACACCTCCCTGGGCAGGCCACTTTGCACCTATGTGTTCTTAACCCTTACAATAGAACCTCCTGCCCATTGTAATTTGTGTTGCAACTAAAACCTCTGACACAAAAGTATGAGAGCCTGAAATGAGAGAGAAAGCAGGAGTGCAGAGAAGAGTGCTCAGTGCCAGGGAGGAAGAGACAGGGCGGGCTGACGCCCCATCCCCTCACAGCCCCTCGTGTGGAGGAATCAGAGCTGCGGGTGAGTTAGGAGGCAAAACTGGGTGTGCATTCGGCAGCGGAGAGAAGGCCTGGGTTCCCACAGGCAATTTCCTGCCCCAAAGGAGCAAGAGGTCTCTGGGTCATATGAGACTCAAGCTCATCCCTTTAGAAACCCATCCCACCAAGCTCAATCCCAGTGGAAACCATTGTTTCCACTCCTGAAGCATTCTCAAACTCCAAGCAGATTTTATACAAGGAAAACTTTATTCGTAAAAATATATCCTGGCCACACAGGATTCCATAGCTAAGTCTGGGGTCTAGGAGTTGAGTGGGGGTGATCAGTAATTGTAACACAAGCCTGTAACTTTGCATCAAAATTCCTTCTTCCACAACCCACACTTAGTAGCCATTGGTTCAGTTTTAAATATCTCACAGAACACTGGTGGTCAGTAAATATGTCCTTAATTTAATAAAATTCTAGCCACTCCTCTAGAATTGACAGTTTGTTCACTCTATGAAAAACCTGCTCTAGTCAGCTTATAAATATAATCTGTAATCGTTTTTAAAAAGTCTCATTTTCAAATATAAAAATAAATAAGTTAAATAGAAAAAATAAATAAATGCATTCACTAATAAATACAACCAACAGTAGAAAAGATGTTACTAAAATCTTATAAAACCATGATCCAGATTAAGAGTTCAGTTCTGTTTAGTCACTCCGACTAAACAGTCCTGTCCAACTCTCTGCGAGCCCATGGACTGCAGCACACCAGGCTTCCCTGTCCATCACCAACTCCTGGAGCTTGCTCAAACTCATGTCCCTCAAGTCAGTGATGCCATCCAACCATCTCACTCTCTGCTGTCCCCTTCTCCTTCCTGCCTTCAATGTTTCCCAGCATCAGGGTCTTTTCCAATGAGTCACTTCTTCCCATCAGGTGGCCAAAGTACTGGAGTTTCAGCTTCAGCATCAGTCCTTCCAATGAATACTCAGGACTGATTTCCTTTAGGGTGGACTGGTTGGATCTCCTTGCAGTCCAAGGGACTCTCAAAAGTCTTCTCCAACACCACAGTTTAAAAGCATCAATTCTTCGGCGCTCAGCTTTCTTTATAGTCCAACTCTCACATCCATACATGACTACTGCAAAAGCCATAGCTTTGACTATGTAGACCTTTGTTGGCAAAGTAATGTCTCTGCTTTTTAATATGCTGTCTAGGTTGGTCATAGCTCTTCTTCCAAGGTGCAAACATCTTTTAATTTCAAGGCTGCAGTCACCATCTGCAGTGATTTTGGAGCCCCCCAAAATAAAGTCTCTTGCTGTTTCCATTGTCTCCCCATCTATTTGCCATGAAGTAATGGGACTGGATGGCATGATCTTTGTTTTCTGAATGTTGAGTTTTAAGCCAACTTTTTCACTCTCCTCTTTCACTTTCATCAAGAAGCCCTTTAGTTCTTCTTCACTTTCTGCCATAAGGATGGTGTCATCTGCATATCTGAGGTTATTGATATTTCTCCTGGCAATCTTGATTCCAATTTGTGGGTCAGCCAGCCTGGCATTTCTCATGATATACTCTGCATATAAGTTAAATAAGCAGGGTGATAATATACAACCTTGCCGTACTCCTTTCCCTATTTGGAACCAGTCTGTTGTTTCATGTCCAGTTCTAGCTGTTGCTTCTTGGCCTGCATACAGATTTCTCAGGAGGCAGGTAAGGTGGTCTGGTATTCCCATCTCTTTAAGAATTTTCCACAGTTTGTTGTGATCCACACAGTCAAAGGCTTTGGAGTAGTCAATAAAGCAGAAGTAGATGTTTCTCTGAAACTCTCTTGCTTTTTCAATGATCCAACAGATGTTGGCAATTTGATCTCTGGTTCCTCTGCCTTTACTCAATCCAGCTTGAACATTTGGAAGTTCTTGGTTCACGTACTGTTGAAGACTGGCTTGGAGAATTTTGAGCATTACTTTGCTAACATGTGAGATGAGTGCAATAGTGCAGTAGTTTGAACATTCTTTGGCATTGCGTTTCTTTGAGAGCAGAAACACTAATAACCACAGTAAGGAAACAAATAATAAATAGATAATGTACATGGTGACCAGCACTAAATTACACAACAAAGAGACAGTGGTTCGGGGTCATACTTCCATGGGTCCTGGAGACTGAGCCCAGAATACTCTCAGCAGCATGTCTTTCATCCTAGTCTGCCTCTTCCAGCCATTGCAGGAGAATGTCTAGCTCCCCCAAAGCCTTCACCACCGCTGCCTGAGGTGGAAGCTGGAAGACACAAAGTAAAGAGGTGAGCAACTTATAGAGAGACAACATGGGCTCCAAGTTTAATCCTCTCCTTTCCCTGGTAGGTCCCTGGTAGGATTATAAATGGAGCATATTTTCAAAATGAAGAGCTTGAAAGGAGCCTCAGGATCTCACAAGAGGAGGGAAAATCAGGGAGTCTAGCCACACTAGCGGAGAAGGCAATGGCAACCCACTCCAGTACTCTTGCCTGGAAAATGCCATGGACGGCGGAGCCTGGTGGGCTGCCATCTATGGGGTCGCACAGAGTCGGACACGACTGAAGTAACTTAGCAGCAGCAGTCACACTAGTCTTACATAGGGAAACTAAGGCCCAGAAGAGTAGCAGAATTGGGACTGCAACCCAAGCCTCTTGAATCACAGAGAGTAAAGCTGCTTTTAAAAGAAAAATATGTGTTTCTGTGTGTGTGTGTGTGTGTGTGTGTGTGTGTGTGTGTGTGTGTGTGTGTGTTAGGGATTGCCTACTGTGCATCCTCCCACTGAACAAATATTTACTGTGCTAAGCACTGGACTGACTAGGGATTCAGGGATAAATGGTGCCATCACTACCCACAGGGAATTCACAGTCATGTAAAGGAGACGAGCAGAAGCAGGCAATTAAAATGCAGTGTGGTGAATAACTGATGAGGTCCCCTCAGGACAACAGGGGGGCACTTCATTCTCAGAGAAGTAGCCAGTGCCTTCCTGGAGGCGATACCTTGGCTGAGTCCTAAAGGATGAGCAGGTAATACCTAGGCTGAGTCCTAAAGGATGAGTAGAGTGTGCAGCAAACTCCAGTCTTCCCGACAGAGGTGCGAAGGCTTTGAGGTGAGAAATAGCATGGCAAAAGCGTTTGTGAAATGGTGAATGACTGTTTTTGAAGGTATGTACATGTGTGTGAGGGCTTCCCCGGTGGCTCAGCAGTAAAGACTCTGCCTGCAATACAGGAGACGAAGGAGATGAGGGTTCGACCCCTGGTACAGGAAGACCCCCTGGAGGAGGGCATGGCAACCCACTCAGGTATTCTTGCCTGGAGAAACCCATGGACAGAGGAGCCTGGTGGGCTACAGTCCACAGGGTCGCAAAGAGTCGGACACGACTGAAGCAGCTTAGCATGCACACGTGTGTGTGTGAATGTGGAAAACTAATGCCTCTTATCTGTGCAGCTGAAAGGTCCAGGTGTCTCTGGGGTGACTTGATGGAATCATAGCTATTCCCTCTTGATTCCCAGAGAGTCTTCCAGAGACAGCACCCTTCCAAAGCCTGCACGGATATCCCTTGGGATACCCATTAAAGCAGATGGATAGTCCACGTGCCCTCAGAGGGCCACTAACCTGAGGGCTATAGGATTTCTTTTGAGTATGAATATCCATCCCACCCATCTATGATCTCAGTTCTAAAAACACACTCATCCCAGCCAAGGCCAAAATTGCATATACCTCTTCAAAGTGACTCAGAATCTGGCTGTACTTCTCCGTTGCTTCTTCTCCACAAGGGCATGACATATGGGCATGCTGAAAAGAATACCAAAGAATGCTAGATTTTAAAGATTGCAATTTTCTGCCATTGACATGAAGTAGGTGGGAGTTCTGTTCTTTCCACCTATAGAAATCTTTTCATACCTCCTTATTTGGGATCACTAAAGTGTACATCAGCTAGAAAAGGAAGCCAGCGTTTTAGGCTCAAATATAGAGCTTCTGCTTAGAAACAGGCAGCACTGCAGGAGTTTGTGATCGCTGTATCCCATCCAGCCTGCACCCCCGCCCCGTTCGAATCTAGTCCCCTCCTACAGAGCGAATTGGATTCTGAGGTCCTATCTTGAGATTGAGTCTGGTGGTCTGCTGATTAGCTGCCTGGACTCAAGATGCCCTAAAACACCATAGGATAACTCACAGAAGAACCACAATTTCATTCACATATAGTGATGATTATAGTGACATCAAAGAGCCAGCACTTTATAGTTCTTTAGACATTTTGCATAGAGTATGTATCCCAAAGTCAATATAGCTGAGTTCTTATTACCTAGTCCCATAGCTCAACGCAGATAATTTTAGAACTCTCGAACTCAGTTTTTCCATCCATTAAATGGGTCTAAGATGAGCCTGATTACTAAGTTATGTGCTGAGGTGGATCCTTTTACCCAAGACCCTTACTCACACAGAGCCGGAGGTCCTTCTTGATGGTAAGAAGAGAGTTGGCGAGACGGCTCACCTTCCGGAAGATATGGTGGTCAGGGGGTTGATAGTTTTTGAATACCCTGTCCAGGTAGAGTCTCAGTATATGATGGAGGAGGCAGCACCGATCTGCAGGCTACAAAGAAGACTGGTGTGTTATGAGGGCAGGGTGTCCAGGGACAAGGTCAATGAGGATGCCCCCAACTCATATTTCCTCCCAGAATTCATATGACCCAAACACATACCTTTGTGCCTTGCAAAGACTGAGTCTTCCTCAAGATTCTGATGTCAATGATTTCATCTTTGGCTTGCTAAACAGAAGAGGGCAAGGTAAGAAAGTACAGGTCAGTGATTCCCACCAGGATCCTAGACATCAAAATCTCCCATCCGCTCTGTGCCATGACCCAGTGGGCAGAGTCCCTCTCCAAAACACTTTTACATTATGAACCAGATACTTCCTGGAAACATATCCTCCTAGTAAGGAGCCCCCAACCTGCTTCTTTTTGTGACCACCCTGCTGGAGGACAGATAAAAACAAGTAGAAAAGTGGGGAGGCAGTCACAAGGTAAAGGGGGGGGGGGTGCCTCCCTCACATACCACACTGTCCCGAATCTCCGAAAATCCACTTCGAATTCCGTGAAGATTTGTGGTGATCACACAGCTTCCCAAATGCAGTGTTTTTAGCCCAGCAGAAGATGTCCAGAAGAGATAAAACACAGCAGAAAGAAGGCAGAGGGGAAGACCAGAACCTCTCATTTTGTGCCAGAATCTGGAGACCACAGGAGCTAAGAATTCAAAGGAAAGAGCCTGACTTACCGATTCCCCCATCCCAGCCCTTAATAAGCCAATCCCACCACAGAGGACTTCCCTCTCCCATCCCCCATGCCCCTGGAGAAACTTAATAGCTTCATCTAACTTCAGATGGTCTGGCCCGTTCATTCAACTTACTAAGAAAGACCGTGAGCCTCCCAGAAGAGACTCCTTCAGGTGCCTGTTCAGAGCCTGCCTATGGGTTGGTGCTACAGGTCCTGGTTCCTTTATTTTGTCCCCCTCCCAGCCCCATCGTCACTGCCCAGCAGGTAAAGCCTGGGGCAACAGGTGCTTGCAGTGAGTAGACGTAGATGACATCTCAGGGATAATGTCAAAACTTGTTTTGGCGAACTGACGTATATAGTCTTCCTTTCCAGAATGCCAGTGTAACTCACCCTTCTCCTCCCCTTAGACCCACAGAGGAACTGGGGGAAAACAACCACATAGAAGCTGTTGCTGAGTCACCAAAAGCATTTGAGGGAAATTGTCTGGATTTTTATGGCCATCCCCAGGGCAGAGGAACTTCGCTCTACTTGACATTTGTCTGAGATCAAGTTGATTGTTTGGGGATGGTAGATTTATTTCAGCCCAGAAGCCAGGTAGAAAGTCAATGATTTCATAATAATCCCGCCAGGGAAAGACAAGTTCTGATGGGTAATCAGCCTAATTCCAGCATCTCTGCCCTCCAGGGGTGGCTGGACTCCCCCACGCCCTCTGCAGGAAGACCGTAGTCAGGCACACCTGGAGCTAATCCAAGAGAAGATGCTTTCCTAACCTTGTAACTCAGGTTCAGGATCAAGAGAGAAAAGGCGGGAAGGAACACATTCTTCTTGGGGCGAAGCTTGCTCTGTAAAAGGGCATTTTATAGAACTTGCTGAGTGTTAAGATAATAATGGGCTGAGATTAGGAAGGGGAGAGTGAAGCACTCATCTCAGGCACAAAACTTGAGGGGGCAAAAGTCTCTTTAATCAAGATAAAGAATGTTTTAATGCAGTAGCAAAATTAATGAAAAAAAATCCATGGTGAACAAAGATCTACAATTTAAATAAAGACAGAATCTGACAGTGCCATGCCGAGCCATGCTGGGATCCAAGCCAGCAGGGAAAATGAGTACTAATAGCTGGGCCGGGCTTAGTCGCTCAGTCCTGTCTGACTCTTTGTGACCCCGTGGACTCTAGCCCAGCAGGCTCCTCTGTCCATAGGATTCTCCAGGCAAGAGTACTGGAGTGGGTTGCCATGCCCTCCTCCAGGGCATCTTTCAACCCAGGAATCAAACCAAGGCCTCCTGCATCACAGGCAGATTCTTTACTGACTGAGCAACCAGTGAAGCTCAAGAATACTGGAGGGGATATAGCCTGCCCCTTCTCCGGGGGATCTTCCCAACCCGGGAATCGAACCGGGGTCTCCTGCATTGCAGACAAATTCTTTACCAGCTGAGCTAAACAGGGAAGCGCTCATATCTATCTATATATGATCTATCGAGCCATTTATATGTGTTTATCCATCTATCTATATCTATCTAGGTATCTATATCTGTATCTATGTTTCTGTGTATCGATAGTGATTAGTTTTTCCCAGAAATATATGATGAAAATATCAATGATGAGTTTATTCCCTTAAAACCAGAAAAGTAAAATTATAATAAATTGTGTTAGGGACATAAATAACATATTTAAGCTTAAAAATAATGTGAGTTGTAATACAATTACTTTTCAAATTTTCAATAATTTTCCACTCCCTTAATGTCTTGAAAAAATAACATACACAAAATAATAAAAGCATCTGTATAGGGGTGTACATCCTTCCCCTTTACCTTAGGCTCCAGTGTGGCTTGGCATCGCACTGTTAATTATTTCTGTTTTACTGATCTTTTCCTGTGTGCCAAGCAATAGGCTTGGTATAACTTACTTCATGCTCACTTGGGATACTGCCACATACAGGACAAGGGGATAAACGAACTAAACCCCAAAGTATCAGAGAGAACTCTGGGTTAGGAAACAGTCCAAATGCATGCTGTACAAATCCCCGCCAATGTAGGTTATCCCAATTTTCCCAAGACTGAGGGGAGTCCAGGACATCAGACTTTCACTGGAAATGTCACAGGTAAATCTGGAAGACTTACTCACTCTCCATCTGTGTGACCTTGGACAAGTTGACTCAGCTCTTTGAGCTTTCTTTTCTTAGCCCCAAAATGGTGATAATTCAGTTTACCCCAGAAATTTGTTTAGACATTTAAACAAATGATGCATGATTTGTGAACCTAGCATCTAGCAAGTGACCAATTCTTTTCAAAAAGATTTGAATCAAATCATTCAAAAACAGAATAATGTTGGTTACCTTGAACATAGTAGGTGTGTGGTAAATCTATGTTCAATTCAATAATTTGATCAACCTCTATTAAGTACCCACTGCCTTGAATGTCATGCTAGATAGTGGAGTACACAGATAAACATGACAACTCCCTATCCTCTAGGATGTTTTGTCCTACTTTAGACATGGCCCTGGACACGCCTGGGTAGATGATTGGGGGAGCTGGACTCATCTCCAGAACTGTGTGAATTGTGTAGAGAGGGGGCGCTCTCTCGCCTGAGTTCGGGAAGGACTGCTGTCTGCAGTCTCCTCGGAGTCTGTTTCAAGCTAAGAGGCTCCCAATCGTGTATATATAAGTCACAGGAAGGAAGTCAGCTCCAGCAGGTGAGGGCTAAAACTCCCTTGGAATTTCTCTGGCGACACTGTACTTCCTCCTGGCCTGAGGCAATTTAATTGCAGGCCGGATTACCTCAACACCTTCCCCCACTAAGAAGCACTTCTTGGGGATTACTTGTTATAGTTATTAGTTAAAGGATACCTCTTTCTCTCTGGCTCCCTCCCAGAAGGAAGGTAAAATGGTAATCAGGACAGAAAAGATCCCTGAGTTACAGAACTGAAAGAGAACTCCAAGAGGTGCTTTTCCCCTCCTCTAAATCTAGGTGTCCCAACCAGGTTTCTCCCCCACCCCAAACACTGTGGCCTCACTCCTGCTGTTTGTCTTTTGCCTTTGCTATTCCCACCATTTCTCTCCAACAATGGCTACCCTATTTTCCCTCCATTTATCACTGAAGAGTGGACCCCGATTCTTTATTCCTAAACTACTTTGGCCCAAAGCAGTCTCTCTCTTCTCTGACTTCCAATAGCAGATTTTTCTTTGGCACGTGAGAGTCTAATGTTGCCCTCTGTGACAAGGACTAATCCATCAGGCAGGACCACACCTCTAGGCAAAATTAAATTAAGGCACCTGAGATTAACCCTCCAACAGTACTTTGAAAACTCTCAAAATGGTACAGAGTATAATATATTCCTTTGCAACTTGTTTTCCTATTCAATATCTAAGACTCTGAAGTACTGTATTTAAGTCCAGAGATTCCATAGTTAACAGGAAGACTTGGGCATATAGTTTTATCTTTCTGGATTTCAGTTTGTAAAATGAGAGTAATAGAATAGATAATGTATAATACCTTTTCCAGTTCTGACATTCAATGTCATTATGATGCTTGGCTCGTCTATCTTTGATCAGAACACTCCTTTTAATGTCTTCCTAAAGTTCTTTGAAAATGAAGACTATAACTTTACATTGTAAGACTTGATAAATGTTGAAAACATGTGTGAATATCTAATCTATATATCTCTTAAGTTTATGCCTGTTTTTCCATCCTTGTTGCTAAGTAAACAATTTCTCATCCATAACTGTGATTGGAGTAAAATTGAGAAACATAGTCTAACAAGATATTCAGGAAATATAAGTTGTACTCCTGTCAGTCAATTCCTTTTCATTACCCATGAAGAACCCAATTGTTTTGTCCTAAGTTACCTGTAATGAATAAGTCAACTTATTCACATGCAATCTCAATTGACTTTAATAATGAAGTCTGTCCTTTTCCTATATCAGAATACTTTATTCTTTTAAAAATCTGCTGAATAGATCCCATTCTGCACTCTGCACAAACACCAATTCAATTTACCTGCTATAAAAAAACTTCCTGTACCTCACCCTAACCTTTTTCTCTCTCTACACCACCACTTACCGAGGCAAAATTTATCCCTTTTTCCCACTTGTGGAGCTCACCTTTATTTTGTATACTTCTTTTGTAGTTAGCACAGTGAATTGCAATTTTTTGGTTATATATTTGTATCTCCCACTAGCTTGAGAGCACCTTGTTCAACTTCATGGTCCCAATACCCAATGGCTCCTGGAAAGTGCTCGGCAAAGATGCCTAATGTATAGCCCAGGGAATTTGATGACTTTTCAATTAACATATTGATTTCAAGTTATTCCTTCTTTATTCTGTAGCCTAAAACCACAGGATCTTAGGCTTAGCTGAACCTGAAAATGGAGACGTACAAATTAATCAGTAATTACCAAACAGCCTAAAATTAGAGTGAGAGAGGAGGATGGGGATACAAGAATGAAAGATAAGCTGGTTGGAGGGTAGAAGCAAAATTAGTTATGTTAAGGAGTTGGGACTTTATCCAAAAGCATGGTGTTACAAGGGCTTTCAGCAAGGAGCAATACAATTCGAGACACTAGAAAATCGATTTCAGGGAGGTAAAACTGGAGACAGGGAATGCAGCCATTGAAGTACTCCCAGAGAGATTTCTTCAGCCAGTAGCAGCAGCAGAGAGATGTGGATGGACTTGAGAGAATTTAAATACATTTTTAAAAAATATTTGGAGGCTGATTAAATGTGTAGTTTAGGACAAGGGGGAATCAAGGATAGTAAAAATCATGCTAGACTGAACCATATGCAATTTCCATCTGTGTAGGTCAAGATGGTCTGATATTACAAATAAACTTATCTATGAAACCAAAACAGACTCACAGAACAGACTTGGTTGTCAAGGGGGAAGAGGGAATATACTGAATCGCTTTGCTGTATACCAGAAACCAACACAACATTGTGAATCAACTA